CAGGAATTGATTATCAAAGGACCAATTAGTGCTTTTGGCAACTCTGATTTTGTCTTTGATCTCAGAGAACACAAATTGAAAGTAATTGGTCTGGAGCTCCTTAATGGTTAAGGGAGCTTTGATATGCCACATTTGCGCTACTGCTCGCTTAAGTCCCATCAGATTGGCCTTTTTTGTTCCCAGTATTTTCGCAAAGAGGCTTTGATCACATTCAATAGCACTTGCCCTAATGTCCTCCACTGCTAGGGGGAAGATTTCCGCTTCCTTTTCAGACAATTGAATGGCATTGAGTTTCGTTGAAATATCCGCCTCCATAATACCCTTAATACCCAACCTCAGGAACAACAGTGAAACGAGGAAATCTGCAGAAAGAAAAGAAGGAATGGGAGATAACGAAACAAAGCACGAAAAGAGAAAACCCTAACACAAAAAGGAAACTAAACAACCCCTAGAGAACCTGCTTGACCCTCAAGAGAAGGAAAGAGATAACCTGGTTATTGGACCACTCCTATGAAAGGGAGAAGAAACCGATTGCCGGAATGAGGCTCTTACGAGAGAGAAGGTGCTCCCATAGAGAGAGAATTTTTTTTTTTTGGATTTTTTTACAAATATATTTTTCTGAGGAATGGTGTGATACTACATACTCCGTTTGTTTTCAATTTTACATTTTTTTTTTTTTTTTTGAGTATGATGTTATTTCATTTATCTTTTAGATACATAAAATAATAAACATATTGAATAACATAAGATAGAATATTATGATATTATTGAACATATTGCACATTATTGACTACCGGGTTGCACGTTTGTGTTGGTGAGAATGAACTTTAGCATAACAAATGCACTCCGACTGCACAATATTGTTACACGAATTGCACTTTAACGATTACATTGTTGCACCTTAATTTTAGACAATTGCACACAATGATCGAAAATTGAATGAACTAAAGAACTTGTTACCGATTATTTAAAATTAAATTATATATATTATTTGTAATATTTTGGTTACCGATATTTAAATTCGATTTTACTTTGGATTAGAACAAATTATTAAAAATACATGCGCTGCAAGTGCACCATACTGTTAGATGAATTGCACGTGAATGACTATTGAATTGCACTTAATCGGTTGAACTAATTTTTTCAGTTTGAAAATTTACATTTCGGTTTGGTAATATGTTTTTATCCTAAAATCACGATTATTTCAATTTGAGGTCGGCATTAATTTTTCTCAAATAACTGGAAAAAAACAAAAAAATCAAACCTATTGAACTACATGAAAAAAATATTATTATTAATATTATGTGTGCACCGTATTGTTAGACGAATTGCACATTAATGACTAACAAGTTGCACGATATCGCTGTAAAATAGTAATAATAATAATAATAATAATAATAATAATAATAATAATTATTATTATTATTATTATTATTATTATTATTATTATTATTATTATTTTATGCATCGAGTGTACACATTATGTTTATACGAATCGCACATTAATAACTATCATATTGCACAATATCAAACGGACATGACAAAACTAAATTTTTCGCTACGAAAATTTTACATTTCGGTTTGATTATTGTTAATTTATTTTTTGACATTTAAAAAACTCGATTATTCCGATTTGATGTACTTTTTTATTTAAATTACATAAATACCAAATGACCCAAAATATATAAAAAATAATATTTTTATATATATTTAAAGTTAACATTTATTTTCAGCAAATAGAATATAAATATATTAAATTAGTAATTATGTTTTGATTAACTATACATTTGACCTGTAGACTTATGTTGACGAGCGTTTTCGGTCAACGGTTAAAAATAAAGAATATTGAAAGCAAGACTGAAAAAGGGGAGAATGATTCGGTTTAATTATGATTTTATTAGACGATCACGAGGTCGGCCTCTCGTACGAGGTCGGCACTTGCGATATACTTACAATTCTTACAGTGAGTTTCTTACAGTTTTTAGAGAGAGAAAATAGAGAGAAGGCAGAGTTAGTTGAATTTCAACCACCCAAAATAAATGAGGTGAGCTGCTATTTATAGTGGTCTTTAATGTGGCACTATTCAGCCACTGTTCACTGGTCTTGTCGCACAGTAATTTGGCAGGGCAGTTCGGCGTC